TTCTAATACAAAGGTCAGTGAGCTTTTCCTTTGCACTTCTGATAATGGGTGACAGTTTGCACCTAGATGTGTTGATCATTTTTAATTTCTCTCTCATTTTTGGGTGAAGTGTCTATTGACATCCTTTGCTACTTTTCTATTTTGCAAAGATTCTTCCTTGATTTTTAATTTGCTCTGTAATTTAGATACTTGTTGTCAGCTGTCCATTTCAAATCTCTTTCCCCATTCTTTTGCTTAACTCTTCACTTTCTTATAAAGGGTTTTTGATAAGAAGAACATAGAATGTTATCTTGGGGAGAGGGGGTCCCCAAAATGTGAACGGGTCCTCAGGAGCGACTTTGTGGAAAACACTGAAGACAAACAGACAGTGGGGCACAGGGGCTCCTCATCCCATGTCAAGACTGAGCGAATGTATTTCCCAGCGGGTATATAAAATGGGGCTTACAGATCTTTCATAAGGCGTGCACGTCACACAGCTAACATATGACAAAGTTCACAGGTGATATTAGAAGTGGTAACATACTAAGCAAGCAATGCAGTGAGTCAGCCTCTTGACCTAGTGCTAGTTGACCTTGACATGATGGAAAGTCGGCTCTGGTGAGGGAAGACCCTTACAATTATGAGATATAAAGAAGTCTTAATCGACAGAACACAGCTCCTCCAAAAACCCTCCATTAAAGAACGGTCATAAAGCAGCTACCATATAAGATGAATCATTTCTGCGTCTGGCTCCTTCCCAATGCCTAAAGGTGTCTGTAGATGAAAGCAATCGGGCGCTATAGCCAACCCACCATAAATGTAGCAACCCCCTGGGGAGGCTCAGGGGGGTTCGAGGTCAACTAGCACTAGGTCAAGATGCTGACTCACTGCATTGCTTGCTTAGTATGTTACCCACTTGTGCTATATTACCTGTTAACTATGTAATATGTTAGCTGTGTGACTTGCATGCCTTATGAAAGATCTGTAAGCCCCATTTTATATACTGACTGGGAAATAGTTTATCTCTCTCTCTCAGTCCTGACATGGGATGAGGAGCCCCTGTGCCCCATTGTCTGTTTGTCTTTAATATTTTCCACAAAGTCGCTCCCAAGGACCCGTTCGAGTGTTGGGAACCCCCTCATCTCGACACCTAATCCCCTCACCCTTATCCACATCCCTGATAATAAACCACTGCATCAATTATTGTATCTATGCATCCACTCCTTCTGGGCTTCGCAAACTGGTAAACCCACCAGAAACAATAAAACAAAATAAAATGGCAAGAAGAAAATAATAATACAAAGATAAAAATACAATTAAAATATAATAACAAAAAGACCACCATCAATATTTAAAAGGCCAGAGAAGAAATTTCTGTCCTGGAACAGGTGAGAAATACTTCAGCCTAGAATAAATTCAGGTTGAGTCGAGAGGGAGGTCAACTAACCAAGTATATTATACCATGTTTCGATCCACATAATCAAGTTCACAATAATCTCTGATTGATAGTAAAGCTGTTCTAGTCCCTTGCCTGTGGCTGGAGGGGATCTATCAGAGGCTTGTTCTGACTAGATAGTCTGAAGGTGTGTTTGGGGCTCCCACTGTCCGCCACAATTTGGGTGTTCACAATTTAAGCTCTGAAACTTTTCCCTTCATCGTATCTGGATTTTGGAATTGTCATCTTTGGATCACCCAGACTGGTGTGCTTCTTCTGTGTGGACTTAGCTGATACCTCACTTAGCTAGCTGCTTGTTTGAATACAAGCCTTTAAGACCCCAGACACTATTCAGGTTGATAGCCGGGCACCATCTGTTTTCTTCACCACACCTTGCTGTAGCACCTTTCTCTTCAGTGATCATTTCATGAAGGCGAGTATCAAGCTGGGCCATGTGATCAGAATTAACTGTTGTTGGATTGGGCCTAGAGTTAAGTGCGAGCCCAGAATCCATCTGGGAACAACTCTAGTTGTTCTAGGTAATCATATTATGACAAAAGCAGAAAACTACAAGAATAACAACAACAAAAACCAAACCAACAAAAGGCAGAAAACAAACAGAGAAAAACATTGTCAACCATCCCCCTGGGGTATAAGGAGATTGCACTGACAAAATCAACAATTTTATCAAAATACTGTTGATATGAGTTTATGTGCGTATAGTCCAACTTCGAGCTGCAATTCATGAGGTTTTGCTTTGTACAGATTGATTTCATACTTGAGCTCAGTTTACACTGAGCATGGGGATTGGCGCTAAGGGAAAATTTCCTGTATCAAGTCTTACCGATGCAGATCCTTGCCTAACAGATTAACACCTGTCATATTAATGCATGGAGCGGTATTAAGTATATGTTGGTTCTGGGTCCCCTTTCATTGGACACCCACTATGCCAGGGGCCCCACCCAAGGCCCAGTCACCACCACTTTCCCATCCTTTGCTTCCTTTCCCATCCAAGTATTTTATAGTATAGGTAGCTTTGTGGTAGGGCCCATTATGTACTCAGGCTTGTAGGCGGGATCCTTCTGGTGTGGCCCTGGGGGATGCTATGCTGCCTGTAAGGCCAGTGTCTAAGGTCATCATGGTGCTTAGTCCATGGCGTGGTTCACCAAGGGTTGGGTAGACTCCTATTTGTAGTGTCTACCCAGGAACATAACATCGCGTTTATGGTCCCCATTGCCTCCCTGTAATTGCTGGGCATCCCTTCCTGATATGAGGTTGCTCCTTCCCATTTACCCACCATACTCACCAACAGAAATAGCAGTGCCCCCTCTGCAAAGCAGAGGCTCCCCTCCCCTGGCCTTCACTTGATTTTCCAGTAAGGTTCGCCTCTCATTCCTGTGGAGGGAACAGTATAGCTCTTTACAGGAAACCCTCGTGTATGGTTGATAACACGCTTTCATTTGTGGTAGAGCAAGTCTCAGGCACACCGATCCATTCAAATGTTTAAGGAAACGTGTGGGGTGGGTGGGGAGGAGCGGTGAGAGAATCCTGTCTCCATGGCACCCTCCCAAAGGTGCCGGAGCAGTGCCAATCACCCCGCAGGGAGATCGGAGGTGCGTCAGCGGATTCCCTGGTCACGTATCCCGGAGGAGCGGGCACCTCAAGCAGGTAACACTCCGGGCATCTCCTCCACGCTATCCCAGCGGGACACACCTTCCCGCAAATCGCTCACACCCCAACGCCGATCCGGGGCCACCTCATTAATCGAGAGGTGCTCAACCTTGTTGAACCCCGCAGATTTCTCCCCGTCGACAGGTGACAAACCGGCAGCAGAGATACCCTGACAGACGAACTGAACGAAGGGATCTTGTTTTCTGACTAAAACGCGCCGACAACCTCACTGCCCGCGTAACGGACGAGACCAGCAGTCCGCGCGTCTCTCGGACGTCCTGTCTGCTCCGCAGCAAGAACCGCCCCCCAGCCACACCCTTCCCAGAGCCGCTATTCCCTCGACCAATCAGAATCACGCGTGCCCCTTTTCCCCGCCCCTCAGCGCTCTGCCGCGCCATTTCATTGGCGCTTACGGAGAAGCCGAGTATCGCATTCGCCAATAGCCGAGAAGGATTCCCGGGCGCTCTCGGAGAGGCGCGGGCCTTGGAAAGACCGCCGTTGCTTCCGGCGGGATCCTCGGAATCTTTCGGGGTTTTCCGGATGTCTCCTCCAGGGTAAAGTCACGTTCTCTCGGTTCAAACTCCCATCAGCACAATTATTTTTCCGCTCCAACTCTCGCGCATGCGCATCGCAACGCCCAGCATGGCCCCCTAAACGGCAGCTTCGTGGGCGAGGGACCTGAAGCCGCTGTTGGAGCGGTCCGCGGGACACCCTCCGAGGCCAGGATGGCTGCTGCCCTCAGCGACTCCCAAAACACGAATTGTGGAACCAAAAGGGGTGGTGAGGTCCCACCGAGATTTGAACTCGGATCGCTGGATTCAAAGTCCAGAGTGCTAACCATTACACCATGGGACCTGCTGGCTGCTCTAGGCAGCCGGGAGCCTTCTCAAGGCGCAGAGCGGGAGGAACAGCGTTTCGAAAGCGGCCCGGCGCCCGGTTGGCCCGGCTGGGTCCTGGGTCCTGGGACCGAGGCCAGCCCGGTGGGCGGAAGCAGGGGACCGCGGGCTTCCGCATCCCGGGCATCCCAGACGTTCCCGGCCTGGGGCGTCACCTCTCCCCGCCGCTTCCTGAGTCTCCCCGCTGGGACGTGGGCGGGCGCCCGGGGCCGGGGCGCTCTCTGCCGGGCGGAGCCCGTGGACCGCGCCGCACCGGGGTCTGGCGAAGACGGGCGTGCGGACTCCCAACCCGAGGCTCCGCGCCCTGGTCCGGGGCTTCGTCCTGGTTTGTTTATTTTCCAGAAAGGTCTCTGGCCGGAACGCCTTGGCCAAGCGGGGAGCGACGCAGACTGGCACGCGGGGGGACAGGGGTTCAAGGCCCTTTCGGGGCGCTGGCGAGTGCTAGTGCGCCCCACCTGCGCCGGCGTCTGCCGTCCCACGTGGCTCGGGGCCGGCGGAAAAGCGTCCCCACCTCCCCTTGCCGGCAGGTCGGCGAGGCCGCAAAAGGAGTCACCGATTGCACCAGAGCCTTTCCCGCGGGGGCAGCAGATGCAAGAATGCCACCGGTCCTTTAAATAGGACCTTCACTCCCCACCTAGGAGGGAACAATGGGACATGATTTCCCTTCTCCCACCCCAGCTCTTAGCGTGCCGCACTTTCTCAATGTGGGAGTGAACACCGCTAACAACTCAGCAACTCCATTTCTCAGACTTCAGCCCCAGATGGGACACATGTCACATGCGGATGTTCTCAGCTGTCTTGTTTACAGTAGGACAGTGAAATTGGTTAAAGGCAATACCCCAACAGTAAATACTGCCTCAGACTTTAGGGGGCACCTTAAATAGAGACGCAAGCCTAAACAAACCCAAACAAAACGCTACTTGCCAACTAGGATTTCCTGTAAACCAAATTCCACAGAGAAGCGATAGATAGGCACGTGTCACAAGGAAGAGCATTTAAAAATGAAGGCTGTGGACCTGACTAAAATTCCCGCTTGAGATCAAGGCCACATTTCTCCTTGTCCCAGGTAGCTCTGTTTTGTGTTTTTGAAAACAACTTTGTTCAACAGTACCTCCTGATAACTCTAAGCATTTTATCGTGCACCTTTAAATAAATTGCTTCGACAGAAAAATGCGGATTTACCCACTTTTTTCCAAAGTTGTGGCCCAGGTTCAAGTAGAGCTTATTCAGCGCAAGCAGGTGTGGGCCATTATGTTAAACACGTGGCTGTATTGGCTAAGCTCTACCATTAGACCATCCTAATGAAATGTCTGTGACCTTTTTTAACATCCACCTGCACTGTCCTTAGAGATCCTTTCAACGATGATTACAGGAAGCTTATAGTCAGCCACAGCTGGTCATCCGAAGTCCCCTTTTGGCAATAGTAGTCAACTCCTGCAAAAATCATTGATCAGCATTCTGCCTGCTGCCTGCAGCATCTTTGTAATGTCTCCCAAGCAGAACTGTCCCACAGCGACCCCTTCCCTTCCGGCTTGCCTTTAGTAGGCCCTGGAGCTCCTTGGATTGCTTGGCAAAAGCTTTTGGACTCTTGTTTTCTTCCTTTGCAAAATGCTTTTTGCTGTAATACCTTCTTTATTTTTAATTTTAAACAGACTTGTAGGTTTTTTCCCCCCCACTAGGACAGTGATAAACATTTGCTGTCTATCTGCCGTGTGACATCTGAACTCTTTCCTTAGGGCATCCATCACTATATAGGTCCCGGTGACAGTAGGTCTGGGTCTCTGAAACATCCTTAGCTTGGTTAACTGGACTTCTGATCCAAAAAGATGGATGCTCAGAAAGAGTCCGTTTGGATAGAACCTGTACTGCTGTGGGAAATGGCTGTCCTAAGGGCTGTGGTGGCAGTCATTGCATGTCCACTGGCAGTAGAAATGGTGTTATAACCAGACTGTCCCATATCCCGACATTGGCTGGGCCCTGACTATCTAGCACCCCCACCCCCATTCTTGGCCATTTTCCTGAGTTTGATTTCTCAGCCTCTCTCGTGCTATTCCAGGAATCCTGTTGCAGTAGTTAATGAAAGCGCTCACCACCAACCAAAAGTCAGTGGTTTCAATCTGCCTATCACCCCTCAAAGGAGCCCATGCTGTGCGGTGGTTACAAGTTGGGCTGCTAACCGCAAGCTTAGCAGCTTGAAAGCATCAGGTGCTTTCAGGGAGCAAGATGAGGCTTTCTACTCCTGTAAAGAGATATACAGTGAACCCTCGCCACTTCGTGCTTCGACTTCCACGGCTTTCACTCTATCGCGGTTTTTGCGTAACCACCCACTGCCTACACCCGCTCCTTCAGAGGAAAAAGACGGCGACCCACCTGTAGAGTACATCCCTTAAGTCATTTCATAGGCTATTGATTACAGTATTTGTAAGAACTATGTATAATAATACTGTATGTGAAATATGTAATACTGTAAACTAGATGCCATAAATAATATAATAAATAATAAATGATAATTGTAATGTCCAAAATGTTTTACTGTATTTTCCCTTTTTTGTTTAATAAATTGGGTAATACGAGTGTAATGGTGACTAAAGGGTGTTTTTTCATGTCCTCTATGCTCTAACTACGAAAATATTTGATTTACAAATAAGGAATCCTACTTTGCGGAATTTCATTTATCACGGTAGGCTCTAGAACCTATTAACCGCGATTAACGAGGGTTCACTGTACTCTTGGAATTAACCCACAGGGATAGTTCTCACTATGAACCCTTCAGGGGCACTGAGTCATGCGCAACTTAGTTTGCTTTTGGATTTTTTTCACTGCTCAGGAGAGAGATGTGGTCACTGGCATCTATAGAGATTTACAGCCTTAGAGACCCCAGGGGCAGTTCTCTGTCCTACAGGGTGGATGTGAATCAGAGAGCCAATTGCCAGCAAGGGATTCTTTTTATGCTTATGGTACCCAGGGTCCATTTCAGTTGTGTGCTTGGCTCAAACTCGGAAAGGATTTGTTGACAATGATCTCTGAGGAGTAAAGTGTATGTGGGCCTTTCTGTTTTTCTGTACTCCTTTTAAAAAAGTTGTTGGGGTTTTTTTTCCTTTTTAATATACCTCTTGTATATTGTTGCTATGAGTCGGAATCAACTCAATAGCAGTGAGTTGTTTTGCGTTTTCCCTGGAGGCTGTATGTTGTCAGAAGACACTTTCAAGATGTCCCATTTTGAGAAACAAAACCATCTCCCCTTGAGCTCCTAGTGACGAGATAAGGATGTCCCTGTATAAGGCTAGGAGTCCTCGTGTTGTAGTGTGTTACGTGTTGGGCTCCTAACCACAACGTTGTCAGTTCAAAACTACAAGCCACTCCATGAGAGAACGAGGAGACTGTCTGCTCCAGTAAAGAGTTACTTGGGAAGCCTAAGGAGCAGTTCTACTCCGTCTTCAAGGGTCACTGGCACTCAGAATCAACCGGACTGCAGTGTGTGAGTTTTCCACGAAGGCGGGAGTCAGTGGCTTTAGTGCCTCCTGCTCTCAGCTTTCTCCTCTATTTCCTTCTTAAAAGGTCTCCAGAGGGACTATCAGTGAGAATACTTAGAAATTATATTTGCAAACTCAGGGAGGAGGGAACAAGAGGTCTAAAAATGATGGTGAGGAAGCCTGGTGGGGTTTGATCAAGTGCAATGTATCCAAGAGGAATTACTGAGAGCTGAGGAGTGGAGGGTGAGCATAATAGTGGGATAGGAGGAAGGTGAAAGGAAATAGAGGAAATGAAGTAGGAATCAAAAGCTATTTATAGAGGTATAGCTATTTTACCTTAAAAATCTCGCTAGACGGGTGTGTACACATTAGTACAGATAAGTACACATTAGTACACATGGAATTAAAGACAAATAAAACTCAGGAACAGTAGTGGGATTAGCGCTATCATGAGGGTAGGGGATGGTGGAGGTGGGACAGAGAAGGGGGAGA